CCAGGGTAAAGTGGTGAGGTGGTGCAGGATTTTGTCCATCAACAGTATGCCTACATTGACCCCTTTTCAACCACCTCAACTGATCGGCAATATGGCATTACCTACCTTGGTAATTAATCATTTTTGATGGGGTAAATGGATGCACCGTCACTCTTCCGGTCCCCTTGGCCGTGTCTGGGTATGTCAACACCATCCCAGCCCCGCCGGGTGCTGCCGCTGGGCGCCACCGAATTCAGCAACTCCTGGGAACGGCAGAGTCGGCCTCTGATCGGTTCCCAACGGTCCGGACGGTAGGATCCACATCCACCGGACCTGGTGATGGTTCCGAGAAACCAAGCAGGCTGGTTATAGGAGCGTGATGGTTCTGGTGATGGTCTGGGAGATTCATTTAGGTTATGGTTCCGAGACTGCCCTGGGCCACCGAAAAAAAAAAAACATTGGGTTTGCGGAGGAAGCAGAACCTTCCAAGGGTCCATGCCTTCACGTTCCATGTCTTCCCGGGTGTATTGTTTGAGGCGGTTGAGATTCGTCTAGGGAACTGCACTGAGGCTCTAGGTGAACAGGGCGGCAGCCTGGTTGCTGCTGTCTGTCACGTATGACCACGGAACAGTGAAATACTTGCATCTTGTGTCGATTTAAGCTGTGCAATGCTTAATTATATCGTATGGTTTGGGGAACTTTGACCGTCCAAGTTGCACCGCAGGGTACGGATTCCACAGTGCTGTGAAAATAACTACAGTACTGTCCCAGAAATCCATGGTTCCCTCTTCCCACCACCAGTTCTGACAGTTTGTGCCCGCTTCCACTCAGTTCATCCGCAAGTTCAGCCCTTCATCCCTTCAGCCAGGTCTCCTTCAAAGTGAGCATATCCTGGATACCGTGACTTTCATTGCTCGGCACCCGTACCCGACGAAAATACTAGGCACGGGAGATCAATCCTTCAAAACACTCGACAATAGGGGTGAAAAGGTGGGCTCTATGGAGCTCCAAGGGGCCTCCACCTTCTGCTTGGATTCAGTCATGGGCATGCTGAAAAGAGGATGCATCAGGCCTCTTGCTGACATTGTCAAATTCCTAATAGGCTCCAAAATTATCTCGGCAAGAGAGCCCAAACAGTGTGTCTAAAGGTCTAAAATCTAGAGGTGTAGGAGCAGAAGGTGTGTAGAGATGTCGATGCATTGGTCTCGAGAGAAAGGTGGTGGTGGTGATGATGGGTGGAGATGGTGGTGGTGATGGTGGAGGCGGTGGTGGTGATGGTGGTGGTGGTCGTGTTGGTGGTGATCATGGCTGTGATGGTGGTGATGGAGGCTCACAAACTGCATTAGAGCCGCCGAAAGTCTTGGTCCAGTCTAGAGGTCTAGAGGTGGAGAGAGATGTCTGAGAACACATACGAACACATTTGCCGCGCTTGCAACGAAGTCTGCAAGGTCTACAAAGTACTGCACCTGCCACGAAATCTACACTTCAAGTCCATATAGTACTGCGGCTGCCACAAAGTCTGCACCTCAAGGTCCACAAACTGCTGCGCCTGCCACCAGATCTGCACCTCAAGGTCCACAAACTGCTGCGCCTGCCACAAGATCTGCACCTCAAGGTCCACAAACTGCTGCGCCTGCCACGAAATCCACTTCAAGGCTCACACAGGCTCACATATAGCTTTCCATCTGCCACGAAGTCTGCACTTCACCTGCCACGAAAAGTGATCACCAAGTCCCAAAATGTGCACGGCACCACAACGAGAGCGCAGTTTCGAAGAGCACCCGCTTGGGCCCTTCTGCGAGCCTGCGCAGTACAGTAAATGGCAGCGAATTAGCCGGACACGCCGATGAGCACCTCCGATCAGACACCCACACTTTACAGTTACCGTAAGAACCCCTAGTGGGGACACACTGTTTCGGGAAACAAACAACAACCTATGCGCCGGTTAAACCTCCAAGGATCACAACATAGCGTGCTGCGCATCTGAGGAAGGCAGGATAGCTGCAAGGTTGAAACGCCCACAACATTGGAAGATATTGGAAGAGTAGGCATGCTGGAGCACACCAAAGGAGCAACTCCAAGCAGTGTCTGATAAGTTCTATTTCAGGATCACCCGGGTATGCCTCAGACTGAGGTTCCATCTCTGGCCCAAACTCTCTTCCACCTTGAAGACCATGGAAACCATGTGCCTTCAGTTCAAAACCATGCATGCAACCGACCAAAATTTTGACGAGCCAAACATGAACTAAAAGAGATGCCCTGCCGGGAGTCAACCCAATGGTTTGAGGTCTCTAGTCTTCAACGACATGCTAAACCAACCACGGAAATGGTCAGGGACACAAAACATCTTCTGTATGCCTCTTGATGGGAAGACCCGAAGAAGTCCACCCGTGACGCCCTTACAGTTCGGGAAAATGACGGTGAAACCACCGGTGAAACCAGCTGTTCGTGTTGAGTCAGAAAACCACTCCTGACTTTTCAGGTTATTTCAGAAAGGTTATCTACTTTAGTCAGAAAGGATTTTCAGGTGATCTACTTTTCCTGGGTAAGACATTCGTTGACAAACCTGCCCGGGAAGCGACAGAATCCGTCCCGTCCACCATCGTCGACAGATCGAGGCACCACATCGCCGTCGTCGATGTTGTACTTGGACTTCAAATTCTGCGAGGCACAACCAGGACCAGGTACGGGCCTCTCTTGAATGTGGGTTTGGTATTGAAATTAGGGATAATTAGGGATACCCCCCTGAAGAATCCCTCAAACGAACACATTAAATACATCAACTGACATCAAAAGCGAGGTCGGTCTTGACCACCAAAGGACCAGAGTGCTGCTCTGCGTGCACCACCCCTCGACACTGCGATGCAGAAACTCGTTGGTGCGCTTGTTGAGTTTGAAACACATATTGTTTTTTTGACAAACAAAGCACGGCTGTAGGTTCACCCACCTCGGACCTTACAAGGCCATTTGAGTTTCATACTCAACTTGCCGCCTGACACCTATTTTTTTTGCAACACAAATTGACATTCAAGACGTTTTGGGTGCCAAGTGCCGAGTGAGGCTGTACATTGTACATGAAGAGTTTGGTCGCAGCTTGGTGAGGCAAGTGTGTGTTTTTTCTGCATCCGCTGCATGACAAAGCGGTAAGCATTTGGTATGAACCTGCAGGCAAAGATCGATAAGAACTGGACGAACCATTAAGGAAAAGGAGACAACCACTGCACCAAGGAGACACTACACGAGGTGGCAAATGCAACGAAGGACCAAAGAAGCAAACAAATGACTAATCGACCATTCCGATTCATTCGGGAAAACTGCACTGCCAGGGGTGCTCGTTATGAAATGATATGTCCCAGACCATCCATGTCTCGCATAGTTACTTACATTTACTTTATGACCCCTCAATTTAGGTACTGTATACTATTGCATACATGGATGGTCTGGGCCTGGGTATGTCGAACACAAACGGATACAATACGTATCGGGTCGAATGCAATGGCCATAGTGGTACGCAGTTTAACGTTGCTTTGAACAACTACATCTCTTCCATCTGGCAATTCAATCCGAGAAGTGTGCAGCTCTAGAGTTCAAAGCTCAAATGCCAGACTAAGTCTTTGAGAAACCACATGACATGTCCAACACTTGTCAAGTCTCCCAAAAGATGGCAATATGTTTGCATCTGGACACATCTTCAAAGGCGAAGCTGGTGTCATGCAACAACAGCGTAGGAACACTCCTCCGCCATGGCGGGTTGCCCCGTTGCCCCGCGCCGCGAAAGGGGAGGGCCAAGGGTGTTCGTGCCTGCACGTGGATGGGATTCACTCATGGGGCTGCCTTGTCAGAGGGCCTCACATCGGCCACTCCGCTCACCCCAAACCTGCGTGGTGGGTGGAGTGGGTTCCGCGCTTTCCGGGCACGTGCTCGCGCCTGTAGTGCCTGGAAGGTCTTGGCCACTTCGAAGCTGGCCTCGACCGCACGTGGACGTCACGGACGCAGAAACGGTCCGCCCCCTTCGACTGAATTCACAGGCACTCGGTGCAAGGGACGAACACACACACACAGACAGTCAGGGAGCCCCACTGCGCTACACTGCCCTAAGAATCAAGGACCCTGGGGCAATTGAGGGTTCAAACCCCTCCAGTTCAGTTCGGGTCCAATGACGTTCTTATAAAATGCCGATCAAATTATGCTATGTTTTGCTTGATTCATATGTCTTGAGAAGTGTAGCTTGAGTCTTGGACGTCCAAAATGCTCCGGCTCATCCTATAATAGTATGAGTCGTCCCCTCCTCCTCGATGTCGTTTAACTGCTTCCCTCTACCAAGTAAGCAGGTGCGTCATTTGGAGTGTAACACACCGTGAGTTGTGAGCACATGATGAATCGCGTGTAGAATCTTCTTCCCTCGGCTCCTGAGTCATGAGAGATGGTTTGGGACCTCTGCCAGAAACCTGTTGCAGCATGTTGTAGCTGGTTCCTCTGCCTGAAGCTCCAACTCAGAAACAGCTTCTTCCTTAAGAGCATATCACCACCACGCATACTGCTTTCCGTCAATCCGTCAATCCTCGTCACGACTCGTCCCGACTCCACGACTCGTCCCGACGGATCCAAAGTCCCCAAGCATCCGAGATTCGTTGAAACGAACGACTCTGAACGAACCATTTCGGAAGGAACACGGCCCTTGGGACGGATTTCACTTGAATTCCTAAGTGGGTTGGACCACACCATGGAGCCATGAAAAATCCAATCGGACAAAACACCACAAATCCGTCTCACCTCGTTCTTCAATCCATTTCAAGGCACGAACTCCAGATCGACCCCTACACAGGACTCCGTTCTTCGAGCCACGGACTACTCCGTATGCCCACTCCCCATCGCCGAGCCATCACTCCGAGCCACCAGCTGGCCACCCTTGTTGGGCCAACCCACCGCGAGCTTCCGGGTCGAAGCCTCAGGGAGTCGGGTGCGAAGCCTTGCTCCGTTCGTTTCGAGTCGCCATGCCCTTGTTACTAGTAGTAATGCCAGGAGCGCCCCTCAAACGACCAAGAGAGGTTGAGAGATCGGACCCAATAGTGGTACATATATAGGCTTCTCAGGATGTTAGGTGGGCTGTTCAACCTCTCTAGGTGGGGTTTGCTTGGTTGCTTGGTCTGGGGATGCGTCACCGTCAAGGAACTAGATGGCTGGGAATTGTTCAATAACAGCCTTTCAAGCCATCAGAACCTGAGTTTCAGCCCTTCGCAAACACCCTCGCTTCTATGAAATCTGATCGAGGGCAGTCGACTTGACACCTGTACCACAATGTGGCATGGCGAGGAAGGACATTATGATGCTTCAACAATGTGTATACTGTTGCAATTTCCTTGTCCCCATTTGCAATCGGGGCTTGATCCATTCTTTGTAGGGGCCAACCATTGACAGTCTTTAGAGCCAATCTTGGCTTTCTTCATGTCAAATTACATTACATACCCTGGGGATCCACTGCCACCTTCTCAGGTTGGGTACGACTGGACCCTCAGACCTCGCCTACATATCCATAGGGATTGCTTGGTGGCTTCAGCTCACTTGACGAAAAAGTGACTAGTCAGTGAACATTAAACAAATCTGAAACCACCAAGGATATTATATCGATCTAATTGTCTATTACTTATTACATCATCTGTATACGACAGAATTGGACGGCGTGGCATGACTAACGCGCACGCACTGACGCCCGGACGGAGCGAGCCCAGTCGGTGAAGGAGGCCGAATACATGCAAAGTCCAACACCCATCTGCAAGCGCAGTTGGCTGAAGCGACTCATGGGTTTGGCATGCGGCATGAGTCATGTTTGCTCACGGCTTACGTGAGAAGGCAACGGGCAACTAGGCTACTGCCCAAGCTAGCCTCTGCAGGGTATATACTTGTTCCAGCCACTCAGGTAGGCACCACGTTTTTGCGTGTAAAATGGGAAGACCTCACACCAATCTTATTAAGCTTGATTTCCCCTCTGCCAGAAGTAGGGGTCTAAAGCTTCAGTCTTTGAGGCCAAACTTTTTGCAGAAGCCTCAAACGCATGCAGGGCCAGGGCCAAGTCTCTTTCTCCAGCGTGCCAGGGCGGCTACGTCATCGGCATGGCGCTGGTCTGGCGCCATCGTCTACATAGTGACTCTCCTTGCACGAACTTCTACCAGAGTCGAGCACAGCGACTCGCCTCCGTTGCACGTCGCAAACCCCGGAGACGCCGTCCCACACCGACACCGACCGACCGACCGTCCCCGGAACCGCGCGCGAGCAAAAGGCCTGACTGAGCTGTTTGCACTGGGAACCGCTCGGGCATTGAGCATCCACCTGGGAACGCCCCGGCCGAGTCGGTGTGTTTCGGCATGCGGTCCGAAGAAGGAGACGGGACAAAGGCTCAAGCAGTGAAAAGCCCACTCATCTCAAGAACATCAGTGATCACTATACTATACTATACTTAAGATAGAAACATCCAAACAAAGCCTGGTTTGCATCAAAGAGGATACATGGCACCAGGTCTTCGATGGGTACCGCATTCGAACAACCCAAGTCCTCCAAGTCCTCCGGTCCACCGGTCGTGTCCAAAACGACTTCGATGTGATGGACCGATGGGCCGATGGTGCAGGACCATCCGTGTTCTGCCCATTGGAGATCCAGTGTAGGGTACTTTCCAGGGAATATACTGTATCTGTACAATCCCTATGGATCCACGGACACTTCTCGAGAAGGTGAATTGGACACTCTCTCTTATGTAGCGTTGGTAGGTTTGGAGGGTCCAGTCCTTACCTCTCAAAGGGTGGCCTTTTCATCCGCAGTTGGATCCCTCGAGCAGGGCAACAAGTGCTGAGGGGCCGGCAACAACGGCAAACACCTGGCGCACCTATGACACATGCAGCTGCATGCCCATCCACCACCAACGTCGCCTTTTCCATCCCATGTCTTCCGCTAGCGATCGTGGTGGCACAAATAAGTCCGCAAAAGAACACATCGTATGAGAGGAGTCTCTGTGGTTGCAACAGCTTCCCTGAGATTGACCCATCACTTGTGGCCTGACAAAGCAGCCCACAGAAGGCGCCCTTGTCGACGTCCTGGCTGGCCAACGTCGAGCTGGGCTCGTCATGTTTTGGAAGCGGGGGTCAATGACACCAAACATGTTTAGACCTAAAATAACGCAAGCTTGCACGTGTGGTAAGGGTCCATTGATTCATGGGGCTCTTAAGTCTTAACAACTGAGGATGTTTGACAACACTTTCACATGGACGGGACGGCTGTCAAAATGTCTTTTCCGAAAAGTTACGCTTCATAAACCTGGTGGGGGCCACTTCTAAATCACCTGGTGGGGCCCACTTTGAACCATTTGCCACCAAACGCGTGTACTTTTTGGTCAAGTGAAAAGGGTTGAACACTTCAAGCTGCGGCTGCGGTTGCTGCCGCTGGACTCTTGCAGTTGCAGGACTCTGGCTGTTTGGGGGTCTGAGACATCAACCAAAACCATTGTACCGAGAGCTTCGGGAAGGTGCTCACCAAAATGCATGAGAATTAGATGAGCTGCGTACTACACTGGTCACGAATGGACACGCGTCCCAACCGGAACCGTTCCCGCCTGCAGCATGCACTGGGGTGTTGCCGAGGCACCAGCGGGCCTTGGTAGAGGGGGCCGAGAATTCCTGCACTCTTAGTGCTTTGGAGAGGATTAGCCAACTGTAGAGGACAAGACTGGTGCATCAAGAATGGGAGTTGAAACCGTCAGTGGTATAGCATGCAAAAACGACTGAACATATTCTGGAAAATGGTCCGAGATAGTTGTCGCCATGTCCATGTCATGTCTGGAGCTGTCGGTCTTATATACTAACCCAAGAAGATGTCCCCAAGCAAAGTCAACTCCTCTGCTTTGCGATCAAAACTCCATTCGTCCACTTCATCTTCATCCATTCCACCCAAACAGACGGCATCCCAAGCACCACATATACCGCTGGGTTCCAAAGATGGTTCCCGGATCCCACTCAACCATCGAACATCCTGATTCCTCCCATCGAACATGAGGAGGAAAGACTTGACCTGAACGATGTTCTGGACGGTCAACCAAGCTTGAACACATGAGGACTCAGGCTCTTTCTCTTCAATAAGACACTGTGTGTCTGGCTCCAAGATGGTCACATACATCCAAACATATCCCAACATTGGGTCGATCCTAATACCTGTAACAGTAGATGATGATGGTTATACTAACTCTAATAAAGGCCGAGAGTTCCAAACATCGTGATTTGCTTGTTAACACGTGTTCTGTTACAGGTTAGTTCGGACAGACCCAATCCCAACATATCCAATGTAGATGTCGTACGGTCCGTTTCGTTCACTTGGCCGATGTCCCGATGATCCGATCTACATCTGTGATTTCCAGAATCTGTGATCTCTGCCATCCGGTCGTGCTGAGATCACTCCAGAAAACAAACAAAGAACCTGAAAACCACGTCGGGTTGTAGAGGAAAAACCGTCTTCAAAGCTCCATCTTCAGGTTCCCATGTGGGTCTCTTCCCGGGTGCTATCTGCTAAAAAAGGAAGTCTGTGGATGCCAATCGAAAAGAGTGGAACGTCCCACGGAAGCCTCGCCTTCCCTCGCCGGCCGCATCGTCTCAACATGTCTCAAACCCCAACTGGGCCCGACACATGTCCGCGACACAATTGAAGCTATTGGTGTCGCATTTGGGAGAGCAAGTGTACCTGCCAGATGAACCAGTTCCACCAGATGCGTGGGATTCCGCAGAGACCGTCTCCGGTCTGGATGCAATCCGTCTCCGTCTGGATTGGATCTTGGTGAAACTGGAGGCATCTGGAAGAAAAAACACATATACCAGGAGTCACAAAGGGGTGGTATTTAGTCCCTAAGTGAGTAGATAATGGACACCCCTAGCCTTCATTAAGCACCCCTTTGTGACTGCTGGTAAGATGATCAAATCTGATCAAACGCTTCAATCTTTGCAAAGAGTACCCAAACATACCAAGTCCAAGTCGAGAATTTGAGGATTCCTTTTTGGGTGAGATCAAAGTCCACCAGTAAATTAGGAATTAACTTGGCATATAATCGCCGTCAGTCAACATGTGCGTTTGACCTGCGGATAATCCGGTTGACCTTGCGGTGTGAGTGGTGCGTCAACCCTCCGGTACCCCCCCCAATGGGGAAGGACTGTGAGGTGCGTCATGGAGCAGAGCGGGAGGTTGTGTGGGGGTGATCAAAGTCATTTTTCTGTGATCCCCCCCAAAGAAACCTATACCAGGGCCCTCCAACAGGTCTCCTGTGGTAGTTCTTGCAGACTTAAAAGTCGCAGGTGGTGACCTGTTGGAGGGTGCTGGTATATGATACAGTACATTTGCATGACACGTGAACTTTTTTCTAGCTGGTTGAAAAGGAGTTACAGCAATGGTCAGCGTATGACTCGACTCTATTCCAGTCCCTCTCCCCCAGAAAACTCCAGTTTCCTCCTTTGGACTCTCTCCCGTCCTTCCGTGCACTCTCTGAAAGTCTGAAAGTGGCTCAGCTCCACCATCCGCCGGAACACAAACCCTATAGGCTTTCAAAGACGACTAGTACACAAATGGTTGACCTGGTTTTGCCGTGTCCAACATCTGAACGTCTAAAGAAAACGTTTCTTCGGTCCTTCAAGCCTTTGTGAATTCCAACTAAATGGTGGGGCCAAAACGACTGCCAACCGGGCCAAGATCGGTCGTGTTCTCCTTCTCTTCTTCTCCGGGAAAACGACACGACCCACCTCGACCCACCTCGGCCGCGCCCGGACGGCGCACCCGGACAGGCCCAAGACTTCCCCTTGCACCTCGTCGTGTTGACCTGGACGGAGCAACGAGCCGCGTAGGCTCCGCGCCGGAGGGCGGGGTCAAAAGCGACCTCCAACAACGCGCCCGGTGGGGCACGGGGAAACTTTAGGTTGGCTTTGGAGAAACCCAAAGGTTCGACAAAGCTGTTCCAAGTTTTCAGTTGATGGTGTTCATAGCTGCCATATATACAAAATGATGATGAACTTCCACTGTCTTGTACAGTGAGTCGCATCAAACATGGCAAGTACTGATCCTGCTCAAACCCGACTCCGTCGGTTGGGGCGGAGATGGGCGGAAGCACCAGAACCAACGAGCCCCCAACATCTACTCTTCGAACGAATCTTCCCAGACGTAACAGGGGGACTCCAAATATGACTGGAACAAACCACATCGACCTGACCGTCCCAATGTCGGCAAAGTCATATCCCACCGCACAATTCCATGGGACTGGAAAATACGCCACCCCAGAAAGACCGCTCAAATCAGCCACTGCAACTGATGGCCAAATCATGGCAGCCCCAGATGGCGGTCGTGTCTGGGAATGTGTCTTATAATAAGGTTTTTCCCCACCTGCCAGGTGAGGGTTGTTAGATTTTATCTGAGCTCTACTCCTCCTTCTCCTATCTCCGCGCCAACTCTTGATTGCAGTGGGCACTACCGGACCTCAACCACAAGTTCCCGATCGCAGTGCCTCAGCCGCCAGCTCCCGAGCGCAGTGGGCACTGCCAGACCTCAACCGCCAGCTCCCGATCGTAGTGGGCATTGCCGGACCTCAACCGCCAGCTCCTGATTGCAGTGGGCATTGCCGGACCTCGACCGGCAGCGTCCGAGTCCAGTGGGCACCACCGGACCTCAACCACTAGATAAGAATGTCAGATAGGGTGCCAGATAGAATGCCAGACAGAATATCAGATAGAATGTCAGATAGCATGCCGGAAAGAATACCAGATAGAATGTACCAGATAGAGTGGCAGAGAGAATATATCAGATAGAGTGCCAAATAGAATGCCAAACAGAATGCTCGATAGAATAATATGCCAGATACACAATAGTATGCTGATCTTGGAACGCACTTATATTGTTTTACTCATCTATCTGTTTATCTGCCTTGTGGACAACAAATGTACTGGTTTGCAATATTTGCTCCGAGGCATGCAACAGCTGCGCAGAAACATATACTTGAGAGGAGGGAGACACGAAAGGTAGGACAGCGGGAAGAGAAGAGAACGCGAGAAGCAGGAACAAAAATGCAATGTTCGACATGGTGATTTATCCCCTCGGAGGCGACCTTTCGTAAATATATGTTCATATGCACTCTAAATGTTCAAACATATGCTCTCGAAATGTTCAAAAAGATTCTTAGGAAAACAAACTTGCCCCATGGCTCAGATCATCGGTGAGCATTGAATCGGAGCATCATAGGATTTGAACTATCCTGAAACCATAAGAGGCTCACGAAGACGCTCCCCAGGAGAGAATTGACGTGCTTCACAAAACAAACTCTAGGTATGTATCCCCTCGGGGAACACCTTTCGTGATTAGAATTTCATATGCACTCTTTCCGAATGTTCAAGAGGGTTTCAATTATCCTGAAATCATGAGAGGCTCACGAAGACGTTCTCCAGGAGAGAATTGAATTTAGAGGGGGGGGTGGTCTGTATTGAAAAATCAATTCCAAGGGGGCGGGGGGG